TATGGATAGATAGGGAGTGTATAGGTAAAGACAATAAATGTAGATAAATTGAAAAATTAAATTATTATAAATAAAATGACACTAAAATAGATTTCGCGATCGGGTAATTAAATTTGGTTTTAAAAAATAAATATAATTAAACTAAAAAAATATTATATAATAAATCTAATTAATAAATTATATAATATGTAGATAAGGATACATAGACATCATGTGTACGTACTTGATAATCGCAAAGAAGTTATATATATATAATTTTAAATTTCATTGAATTTTCAGCTCTCCTGAAATTAAACTTAATATCTTATAAAATTCTATACATATACAAAGTATACGCATTAATATTGGTAATTAATTTTATCATAAATAAATGTATGTATAATAATATTACATACGTAATATAAAATTTATGTGAACTATGTCTAGGTAAATGCCATCATGTTTATTTTTGTAATTTCCGCAATAATTATTAATTTGAATTATACATTTAAATTATACATTTATTGGAATGTTTATATATTCATATTAAATATATCTATTCCATACAGATAGCATTTATCTTGTCGTAGTAAATCAAATTTATTGTTGCTTTATTGATGTAAATTAAACGAAATCGACGAGATATGTGATAACAAAAATTGTTTATTGATTTAACGAGTTCAATAAATAATAATTAATTTTAAAACTTTTTTAAAATTTGGATTTTATTTTGTATATCAAAAAGGTTAATAATTTTGAGTGACTTCTAATTAAAAAATGATGTTTAGACTAATCATCATTTTTTTGTGTTTATACCTGTATATATTATATTTATTAATAGTATAATTATTAAATAAGTTAGTAAAGATTGGAGGCAATAGTTAAATATTAACTTCTTGTTTACTTTTTGACATTTATACAATATTTTTAACATTACAGAATTATAAATATATTTTAGTGATTTATTTGTTATAAAGACCTCATTGTTGTTTCTCGCGTCAGATGGATGCCAGTAAATGGTTTGTACCGATAGAAAGTCATAATTATTTTCATCATGGAGAATTAGTCCTGGTCGCTTTCCGTAAAGTTCATTCGCAAAGTCTAGTTTGGTATCTTGTTGGAAATTCTTGCACAGGATCGGAATTAATCCGGGTTTTCTCGTTAGTTCCTGACCGTCGTTAAAAATTGGCTAGGGTGATGAAGAGCCTTTATAGATGATTTATTTTTATTCATTTAAATTTTCTTTACAACTTTTAATTAAATTTGAACATTGAACAATATAATTAAAATTAGATATTTTAAAGGTATTAAATAAATAAATCTTACATTACATATCAGCTTTGAATCGTGAAAGCTCTACTTTTTTACACGTGACAATACAAAGCAGAGTTCTTATTGGATATCGCTCGTCATTCATCTCTCATCCAGTGTGAAATAGATATTAAGGCCGATTCATATGGCCGTAACACAGACTCTTAGGGGCTCCGCACAATAAAAGGAACAGGGAACAAAGAACAGAGAATAAGAATTTTAACCTATCAGAAACTGTGTATTTCACAATACATGATTTCTGATAGGTTGAAATTCTTATTCTCTATTCTCTGTTCCTTTTATTGTACGAAGCCTCTTATATAATATAATGTATAATGTATAGTGCATAAGGGAATTAACCAATCAGAATCTTTCTTCCCATTCCATGAAAAAAAGAATGTAGCGAGGAGCACGAATTCTTGCCTAACACATAACACTTCTAACAGCACAAACGTCGATATGTGACTGTAAGTTGACTTTGCTAAGTCAGGCCTTTAAAGTCGACTGTAAGTCGACTATGTACAGACGTTCTTCCAATATCGACTTTAGGACGTCTAGTGCGATTTATGCTCACAAAGCTTAAATGTGGAATCATTTCATCCTTGTTATTTAACTATAATTAAACAAAGATGATGCTGTTCATGAGCGTTGTGGATATGAATCGGACCATAGCCTAGAATAGTTAACTTAAAATCAGTTTACAGTCGTCTTTAAAATGGGACATTGTATGACTTAGAGACATCTCCAATTTGTCTAAAGTTGATTTATGGATTTTTCAGATGTCTAGAAACTATAGTCGACTTAGAGTCGACTTAGAATCGACTTTGTGCTGTTAGGGAAGTAATGTCCTAAGATGCTAATATGGTTTTCTGATTGGTTCATGACATCTTAAGATTGTACTTAAGACGATCTTGAATATAAGATCTGATTATAAATACAAGCAGAGAGAAACCTGAAACTCATTTGATAGATTTTAGTTATTTCAGTGATTTATTTCTATCAGGAACATCACAAAAAAATGGATATTGCTGTGTAGTTTATATCTACTTCTTCAGAGGGCAGTAGTGCGTGGCGGTACTTTGCGGTGGTACTTTGCGGTATAGGAAAAAGGCTCTCATGTCCTCTCTCAGGTTTCTCTCTGGTTCAACGACTTTAGAAAAGTAGCGATAAAAGCAATGTACCAGCAATCGGTATTCTTAATATATTTAATAAATTATTAATAATTTTTATTTAAAAATTCCGGGCACGTCACATGATATGGATTACTTGAAACTCATGTTTTGGTTTGCTTTCCATTTTCATTTTAATATAATTGTACCAGTCGACGAAACAGCAATAAAGTATTGGTTCGTCATCCACATCCTAAAGAGAAAATACAATTTTCTGAATTTTTATTACGAGTTATAAAAACTATCGATCTTTATCTTTCTCAGAACAATCTTTTTCAGGATTTCTGTCTTTCTATATGTTAATATATCTTTTTTTATACGCAAGTATTGTACATCTTCATTGAAATTCGTTAAGTTAGAGATCATTCTATTGATCATTTGATAACCTTCGAACTAGAATAGCCAATGTCGTAGATTTTTTAGACCGAAAATAAAATTCTTATCTTGCATTTAAATATAGAACACTTTTTTTTTCATTCAATTCAGAAAAACATGGCTTGTACCAAGATCCAAGGCGGCGATAGAATTGCAAGTAAACAGTAAATTTCTTAAATCAATCTTACAGCATTATTGGAGAACGCAGCGAGGGTAGTCAATTCTTCCAAAGCAGGAATTGGTAGTTCACTAATCTGCTTTCCAGCATTGTGTTCATTGATCTTTTTTTGTATAGAATTATCACTTTTGCCGGTACTAGAACTAGACTCAGAACTTCGCATATCTGTACTTGTATCTCGTTCCTTTCGAATCTAAAATCACAAATATTTACGTTTCATATTGATCTAATTAAGAATTTTAAGAGAGATTAAAAAAGATTATTCAGATTACTGAAAAAATTATTTAAACTGTAGTTTTAATAAAAATATTATTAATCGTATTATTAAATTAATAATCGTAGTCATTCAATTTCTCAAATTCTCTATCAAAATCATGAACCATTATTCTTACGAAGAATAATTATGATTTATAATTACATAAATTATGTTAATTTTTACGAAACGTCATAACAAAAATACATTATAAATAAAACTAATAATTAAAAAAAAGATATATATCTTATATAATATATAATAATGTATAATTGTTTAATGTTCACGCACCCACTGCCATTGGTCGACAAGAACCCACGTTTGAATTAAGTACAGAGTCATAACGAACAGCGATAATATGCACATTACAAAGTTGTGAATAAAGACAGGATGCTCCAATATTTCTTCGTCAGTAAATTCGACAACGTCGATGTACATATCGGCGTGTCTCATCTCCATTATTCCTGTCACAAGCATCAGAATAGCTCCTGCTGCGCATATTGTGAGAGGCTTACAGGTTTATTTTCACAGCAACGCATAATTATTTAATATAGCGTAGTTAAAATTTTATTTATTATATCTGTATTGTGACAACTAATTCTGCGTAAAGAAATGCGTGAGAATTGTGTATATTGAGTTTATAATTGAAATTTGTCATTTTATCAGTGATGAGATACTGGATAGCGGTCATTACTAGAGAGAGAGAGAGAGAGGGGGTGGGGGGAGAGAGAGAAAGAGAGAGAGAGTTTGAATTGTGCATTAGTATTCCAAAAATATACAGTAAAAAGCATTTTGTACTTGTGTTAAAATTAGTCTTTGTTAAAATTAATTTATAATATATTTAATTATTTTAACATACCTAAGTTAACTTATGTGATTATGTTATTTGAATATTTTAAATTGGTAACATTTTTTTAGTATTAAAATAAAACAATTCATAAATTAATGACAAATATAAAAAACATAAAAAGTAAAAGTACATAGAATAATACATAGAATATAGAAATAATATAATTTTAAAATTTAAATTTTTAAATAAATAAATAAAAGATAAATATACATATATTAATTTAAGATATAGTAACAAATGCTAATTTTACTGAATAAATATGTTGCCAAATTATTGTTTCCAAATTGTGTTAAAGTGTGTTTTTATTTTAATATTAATGTTTGTTTTTTTTAACACATTCATTTTATGTTAAATTAACACAAAAGTTGTTTGAATCATCGTTTGAGATATGTTTGTAAAATTTATTAAATTTAACGCAAATTTTTCAATTGTAAGGTTTTTGAAACTGTGTCAAGAATTATATCTATTGTAATTAATCGCGAAGGAATTTGTTGTCTATAGTTTATATATTTAACAATTTTGGAAAAAAATTTACTATTATAGGCCTATCGGGAACTATTTTTTTAACAAGCCAGAGGATCATAAGAACAAGACTCAGTAACATGCAAATGGGATATACGAAGAAAATAGGATTTCTTTCCTCTGGCAACGACGGGATCTTGTCGTCCTTTTCTTGCGCACGTCGATTCATATAGTGATGCACGTAATGAAAAATTTCGATAGCCATCGTCGACACCTAAAAAGATCTTTCATTGTAATATTTTCGTCATGCTTATCAAGCAATCAAAGTAGGTGAAGTAAATCTAAAAATATCGAGAATACTCTCAGTAATAAAAATAAATACGACATATAGAAATATTTTTCTTCGATAAAAATAAAAATATAATATGAATAAATAAATATAGAAAAATAAATATATATATAGTAATATGATAAAGTATTGAGTTAATTAATAAACAAATAATTTTTTAAATAATTTTAAATATATTAAGTAAAAAGAATCAAACTATCTACGGTCAAAGTTAGATGTTGGAATAATTATTTTATATGTAATTTAATTCAAATATACATTTATTTCAAATTGACGATCAAATTTAATTTGTGATTATTATTTCAATTTGATTACATCCTGAATCGGCGCACAACAATCGAAAAGTAAATGTGTTTAAAATAAATTATATATACTATATAGAATTATTATTCCAACATCTATATGTATATATAATCACATTTCGTTAGCATTTCTTCTTGGTTTTGATTGATTTTTTCATATGTCGGTCTTGTCATTTATTCTAAATATATATTATATATTTTAAAGTGTTTAAAGAAACTACCATCTATCTTACTCATTAAAATTAGCCTAATACACCTTATCATATTATTATTGTTAATACAAATCAAGCAAAAATTAATTTAATTTAAATAAATATAGGTTACGAGAAGAAAATACTAATATAAAAAAAAGACTCTGTAAGTTGCAGTTTTCATAGCACTCAAGAGATATTCTCAATATTCGCTATCATGTATTGTGCTAACGATGCTCTTAGCAGGTTTTCACCGATCGTGACAAAACCGTCAGCTGAAATAGAACACAGGTAATTGAATACTGTGGCCGTCGGTTTTCTTCCTGAAGCGATTAAAATTCGCGGAGTACACGGCGTTAGCACGCGTGTTCATGCGTAAATATGTCTGATGCGTGTCCGATGTTCGATGCACATGTATCCGATTACATAATAAAAATATCAATGTCACGATTATCGTTATACTGAATCACAGCACAAGCGGTAAGAAATTCTGATCGAAAAACTAGGTCGGTCGCATTGTTTCAAGCATGAAATTATTTCATCTTGGGATAGAGGCACGTAAAGATAGCAATGTGCTTTCTTAGATATTACGTGTCATATTTTTTATCGTGTACAAGAGATGATAACGAAATATTATATTCCTATGATGCATTTATTTTGTACATGTGCGAGAATATTTTTAAATTTATTTTACCTAATGAACGATTCAATAACATATAAGATTACATAACGAATGCAATTATTTGATCTTATACTTCTTACAATATGCGTGTATCTTTTGACACAACTGTGGCAGTAAGTATGAACCCCTTAATTTATTTCCTCAAAAACATACTAACAATAATAAAAATAAAAAAAAAATTAAATATTGAAATTATTATAAAAATAAATATTACTTTTTGATAATATCGGTTTTTAATTTATTTTTTATTAAATACAGAATGTTTATGTCAATTTTTGAGGGAGCTTTATACATATATATGGCTGTACTGTTTTCTTTTTAATTCTCTATCTATAATCTGAGTCCTTTTTTACAAGCAAAGTTTTACTCTTAATTTTCTCTGAAATAAAAAACTACTAATTCCGATTCTCCTTCTTAAAATAGTCGAGAAAATTATTTAGTAATAATTATGTAATAAAATAGAGATGTTGAAAAGTAATCCTAAATTTTTTCACATATTTGAAAATCCAGAGCAGTAAAAAAATTTCAATTTCATGAAAAGATTCAAATTGCAGAGGGAATAAGAATATGATTGCGGACGGAAGATTAATTATATTTTTCACACATTGAAAATAACGCGTGATTACTTCCTACTATCGGCTTCAGTTCTCATTCCGGAATAAACATTTTGCACATATGAGAAGATTAAGTTACGTCCGCCTCACGAGCGATGTAAATTTTTCAACATGTTCGATCCCTTACAAATTGAGCAAAGTGTAAACTGGCGTGCACGACATGTGAAAGGTCCGTTCTTTTCTGAAACTTTCTTTCGCCATTGTAATGTATAGCCGCAAGCTTGGCAAGTTCTTGGAGTCTGCGAAGCTCCAATTCGGGTTCATCTTTCTTCCTAATCGATTCTCTATTTTCGGCTCGACTCACCATTAAATCGTTAATTATTAACACAAATTGTCGGCAGATTTCCCTGTCAGTGTAACCTAAATGTAGCGACTGAACATGACGTTCCCGAATTATCTGACAAATGAACAATGACAGGAATGATATCCGCAATCAATTTATGCCAATTAAAGTTGTCTCCGTCAAGAGTACAAACACAGAGAATCAATTAAATCTCAGTTGAAATTACTTACTTAACGTTAATAAAACCGGTTCTTAAATAATTTAAGAGGATAGATGCAATGTAGAAATTACATAATAAATATAAAGTATGATTACGTAATTACATAATTTTTTTTACTGCAAAATAATTTTATACAGAATAATTTTTTTATGATACACGGAAAGAATGTTCTTGCGCTGAAGTATTTAAAAGATTTGGTTAGATACAGATCTGGAAATAATTTTGTTTGGACCATTGAAATAATTATATAGGACAATTAAATTGATTTCTAGAATGTTAAATCTTTTTCATCAACGCTTAAGCATTCTGTATAATTATTTTAATAATCGGAGAAAAAATTATTTTTAAATCTAGTTTTTTTTTCAATATTTCAGTAAAATCATTCTTTCCCTGTATTTTCAACTTCAGTTCTGATTTCAATTCAAATTTTTAATTGTCTCGATGATCTTTCTGTTTGATTAATATCCTGAAGAAAAATTATTTTTTATGAGAAAGTAGAACAAATGCCAGTAATTATTCCAAATAATGGAATTTCTAATCTTTTCACTTTCGTTCTATTTATATTTATGTCCTTCAGTTAAAAAATCCATATATATTATTCTCGTTTGATATGACAGATCCATGGGTTTGATTGCATTAAAGTGCGCCGATACTTTCTCTTCCTAATCCCTTTCTCGACCTTTATCTCATCTTTTTGTCATATTTCGATATGGTAAAAGACGGGATAAAGATCGAGGAAGCTTAGAATTAAGAAGAGAAAGTACCAGCGCAATCCCAATATATGCAACCAAACGCACAGATCTGTCATATCTATCGAGAATGATGTATGTCAATCTGACAGAGATAAATATAAAGAAAAAATTAAAAAATTAGAAATCCCACCATTTGGAACAATTGCCGCCATTTGTTTTATCTTCTCATAGAGAAACTATAATTTTTCTTTGGAGATATATAAGCTTAATTACAGACATGGATCCTCCATTCTTAAGTTAAACTTCATAATGTTTGTTTTCACAACAAATAGTAAAGAAGATACGCAGATTCTTAAATTAGATATTTAACAGAGAAATAATGTCGTCTTTCGAATTTTATCGTGATCGATAAAATAAAATTACATGAGCATTTTTTTTATATTTTTGGATTTATTTTATTGCGCTTCCCGCGATCGTTTCATGAACGGATGCATTTTCAGAACAGAGGAACAGATAGGAAATGTTCGACAACTGCAAGAACGAAGTTTTACGATCAGATTTCGATACGATCGACGAACATGCGACACTGCGAAAGACGTTTTGGAAATTTTCCAATGGAACGTCCGTGCTTTTAACAGGAGAATGGCGAGGATGTAGAAGATTGTTGGCACTATTGCCGAAAGTGTTCCCAAAATAACTTGCTGATCTCTTTTGATGATATATTAAACGATTCTCATCTGTGAAAATCAAGATCGTTGTGACAAACGCATTATAACATGATATACGTTTGATGTCATCTCCGCTCTATTTCGAATTCGTTCATTAAGTTAAAAAAACATATGATGAAATTAAACATATGATTGTTGCATTCAAACTGTAAGCTCGCAAACATCGTGCAATATAATAAATTTTAGAATATTTTTTAAATTACATTATATTTTTTCTTTTATCTATAAATATAAAGAAACAAATTGGTTAGGTTTGATTAAATTGTTTTAAGGCTGACTCTTATTGAAAGCATCTTGGATTATAATGTAAGAAACGAGAAAATACATTTAAAAAATTGTTATAAAAACTATATTAAGATATGTAAACATTTTTAAATAAAACAATTTGCAATCAATAGAATAAATTTATAAGATATATCAAAAACTGCCTTTATGTTCTGATAATTAATGAATGAGTAATCCATATATTTGAAACTGAATTGTGTCAAACCAAATACGAAATAAGGTACATGATGGCTGTCGAAAATAAATATAATTTTATTCTACTCTAAGATAAAAAGAGAGTTTTCAATATATCTTATATATAAGTATATTCCATCAATATTGTTTTATTGTAAATATTGATTTATTGAAACATATTTCTATTTTAATATAATTTACAAAAAATTTTATGTTTTCTAATTTCTGACGTCATCAATCTAAATATCTATGGTCAGAAGCCTTAATTAAAATAAATTAAGGCTAAATTAAGGCTAAAAGCATTACAAAAATTACAAGTAAATCTTCTTTAATTAATTGTAACTTCTTTATTATTAAAGTTCAATATTAACATTGCTATAATTACAATTTTAAATTATTGTTTTATTCTTTTACTTTTTAAGAGCAAGCTTTTTTCTCTATAATAAATCTTAGATATAATATATGTTTAGCATAATGGATGAATGAAAACGACAGTACCAAGAACTAGACTCAGTAATATAGTTTTTCGAGAGGTCATAAACTTTTCTCAATGAAAGTGAACAAAGAAAATTTTACAAAGAACTATAAGCTTTATAAGCCCTTTCGAACGTTCTCAAACATTTTTATAACGCTTTTAAGGATTTCCGACATTGTGTAACACCTATGTTGAACTTTACTTATCGTAAAATTCTTTTTTCTTCTATATTTGACATTTTCTTCTATATTTGACATTTTTGTTAAAAGTATGAAGACTTCGTGAAACTTTCATAATATATTTACAAGACCATTACGATTTACATTATAATATTTATAAAACTCACTATACTAATTGTCGCTATAATTTTACAACAATATCGTAATAGATAAAAATCTATTTCGATTCTATTTATTTTTCACGGTCGATTAAAAGTTTAATCTTCGATATTATAATCGCTTCCTGCTATCAAATGAAAAAAAACTTACATTATTATCGAAGAAACTGACATGTCATTGTCAGAATTGCATCTTGCAGCTGCGTACGTTGCAATTGCAAATTGCAGCTCATGGTTGATTCTCGAGTGTCCGGTGGGTATAAACACGGAGATAAGATACTTTATTATTTTAGTTATCCTTCGAGTTGCCATTCAATGTATAATTATAATCGGAGATGACACATTACGCAATGCTGCAAGATGCGCATTCAAATAAAAAACTTTTTTTTCTTGAAATTTATCACCTTCTTCGTGCAGTCGTCATTCTCTCGATAACATTTATAGACTTTTGAATGGCGCCTTCGTTCCTTTCTCCACCGTCACCCAGACGACCTTGGCGGTGCGATCGAACAGAAAAATCCGATTTGCTTCTTTTACCGATGCTATTACTGATTCGATAAATTCTCAGGGTAATCGCCGACGAGACGTCGGCGCGAGTAGGAAGACACCGCACGAGGAAGAAATCAATTTTCCAAGTGAAATTTATTTCTTGCCGTCGCGGTGAAGACACGAGGGGCAAAAACGTCTCCGCTCAACTAAACAAGTGGCTCTTAAATAACTTTCTGTTACGCAATTTCTACTTGTATTTTGCCATCTTCCGTTATTGCACGCGTTATTGCTTAATGGGTAATTACAAGTGGATATTATATTATAGTAAAAAAAAATTTGCTCTTCTGAAGAAGGATAAAAACAGTGTTAATTATGCGAGATATCTCGAAGAAGAAATCGTACTTCACTGGCATGCATCCATTTTATTGAAATAATATGCAGTAGTTCAAGAAATATAAAAGTTTTTTTGCTGCAAGGTATCTCCGCTGCAAAAAGATATTTACACATTACTGAAGAATGTTAGATATTTATGATCATAATTAATAATGGCAAACTAATTATAGATGTGTGTGTGAGAGAGAGAGAGAGAGAGAGAGAGAGAGAGAGAATTCCACTTATGGTTATATCATGTTAATAACAATAATTATATGTATATCTATAGTTCTACAAAAAAAATATAAAGTTGGCATAAAAAATGACTATAAATTATAATTATATTATAAATTATGGTAGTTACAACAATTACAATTTTTTTCAGTATACACGTAGGAGAAAGAAAGGGAACTATGCGCACTTATGGGAAATTTATTGTCTTAGAATGGTTTTCCAAGTTTAAAGCGATATGGAAATAGAAACTATAAACATTCTTTTACCATTAATCTCTCTTATCAAACAGATTTTCATTCAATAAGGTTGTATAATCGAAAAGAAAAAAAATGGAAAAGCGAAAAAATTTCTCGCGCGTCGGGTAATTGTGCGCAAAAGTCGTAAGAAATGAATAAATTGTGAAATGTTGATAAAGAAATCAGAAAATATATTCAATACATTACAATATAAATATATATTAAACATATTTTAAATATATATTGTATATATTAAGAATAAATGCAAAACTAACATAATACTGCACATAGACTTTGACAAAATAAAATAGTAATGCTAAGAAGAAACGAAAAAATTAGTGCTAGTCATACAGTATATGGAATTGGGTAATTGTGCGTATTTTAAAATGTTTACTCACAGTTGCCCATCGTGACCTGACTCGGTACAAAATATGATTACTTCCTAATCAATTCCTAATCAAACTTAATAAATAAAAACTCAAAAGATACTCATAATAACGTACTTTAATAACGTATGTAATTTTAAACAAACAAATTAAAAACACGGACTTACCACCTTATTTTCTGCTAAAATAACAAGAATGCTAAAATAACAAGAAAAGATGTGATTTTACTTTTTTGTATTTCTCTGGCTAACAATGTATGTCGTATCTTTTGTAGTTATATCTTAAGAGGACGACCTCCTGCGTAAAAATTTCACCATGGTGATGTTTTCATCTATTGGAAAAGTATCAAACCAGAATGTGCACAATTTCCCCACTTTCCCCTATACACAAATAGAG